TTAGGGAAGCTATAGTAATACTCACGGACTGTGAAAATAAAACGCTACGCCATTTTAAAGAAAGTAAATCATAAATTTCAAAAGGTTCTGACATGATTGTTTTCCAAAGTTTAATGACCACAGAAATGATTACAGGAAAAACATATCGTTTTCGTAGTTCTGTCAATGCGAGCATTGCTATAGCGCTTTGCGGGTGTTGAATTTGTTTGCGCGTTTTTCAAGTGTGTATCATACAACATTATTATATATATATATATATATGCCAAAGCCCAAAAGGTAAGAAAATCAGTTTCCGTCGCTTAAAAAATAACTTTATAAAGTAGCTGCTGCTAGACACAGAGGTCAGGATTAAATCGTACGCCGTGTTATAAGGCTCGTGTGTTGTTATACGGTAAGATAGATATGTATAACGTACATAGGGCTGTTGTTATTATTTCGGTCTATATTTTTCTCGTTTGTCATGCCATAACTACGCGACGGTAATACTGCTGCGTGTAATTTCGTACAATATTTGCTACAGTTGTTCTGGAGTTTATCCTTCCACGTGACGCAAGTAGAAATAACTCGTCGGAGTGGTGGGTGGTTTTTTTTTACGGCACCTCATTTATCGCTGCCGGTCTGGCGAAAACAAAAAAAAAACCAAAAGCGAGTCCAAGAAACCACAACACTCGTTTCCCGTTTAGGCGCCACCGCCGACGTCGGGAAATATAAACCGTAACTTCTAATTTTTTTTGTTTTTTTTTTTTTTACCCTCTTCTCTTGCGCCCTAAAACGCAAATAGCGTCGCTCTATGTGCACCCGAGACCGCGGCGATGGCGGCCAATACAAAATAAGTAATTAATTTTCTCAGACGAGGTCAACAATCGTGGCAGAGTTCATTTGAAACGCCTTCACCCGCGGTCTCCTCCGCCTATCCCTGACTTTTCATTCGTTCCGCCGAGTCGTACAGGGTAACGGTTAGGTCATTCCAGGGGGACCGTTTTCCTCGAATAAATGTATCGCCACGGTGCCGGTGGTCTCGACAATAAAGATCTAATGAAACTTGATTGTCTTCTCCGGTGGCTGTCGATAATAATTTCTTGTATACATAATATTGTAGTTGTGTATACAGTTGCTGACGCGTTTTCCGCTTTCGCCGAACAACACAAACAAATCTATTAAAAAAAAAAAAAACCAAAATTAATATTTTTGCGGGTTTTCTCGCTATTTTGTATTGCTATTATGAGTTTGCGGGTTAAAAAAAAAAGCAGCGAGGTTAATGCCTTACGGCAGTCGATGACCCATCGTGCATTATTTGTAATGTAATTGGTTTTGGATGACATAAGGCGAGGCGTCAATGTTGCATAAATATATACGGCCGTGGATCACCTTTTACGCGAAAAGCGGTTACACTGTATCTAAAATTATTGTTACCGGTATTCACCACCGGCAATTACCGAGTAAACGAAATTACCAGAATAATTACTGAGCTTACGTTTGAAATCCCGATTGTTTTGTCTTTAAAAAATATGAAAATAAAATAAAAATTATAATATTTTATAATTTTAGACAAAAACCAACAGCAGGTAAACATAAAAAAAAAAAATCATTAATTATACGAATTTAAATTTTAATGACCTCTATTATTTCGGTATACTGAAATACCTACCGCTGGATTTAGAGTATAAGTTTCAAGGAAAACTCAAGGAGTTCTAGTGTACTATGTACACGCTTTGAGCTTGTGAAACACTACCGATGAACTGAAAAAACAGTTGACATAATATCAGCTCGTGGCTATTGTTTATCCACCTGTCGCCGGTTTTTGCCTTATTGCGTCAACAGCCACCGACAGAGTTATAACATCCCGGGAAGATCTGCGTCATAGACCCGAATTCCGAACGTGGGTTAAACGGCTAAATCGCAAACGGAAGCTATATAAAAATAACCTTGTTATGTTTCCGGTAGGAACATAGTACAATAATATTTACGCTTTGTTCTAAAGAAACCAAAAATGTTCATTTTATTTCCATTGCTATTTCAAAACAGAATTTACATCTCAAAACGTCCCAATAATAATAATGATTGCTGTTCAACAAGTACCTAACGCGTGATCAACAGTAGCACAACGACTAGCTTTAGGTTGAGTCATTGGTGTGCCTGTACAATGTTGACAGTCAGAAAATGTTTTTACATTGAATATGATTTTCTTGTCCATGAAATGTATAGCTAATGTTGTTCAGGATGGTTTATTAAGGATAAGACACTTCATTTCTCTTAAACCAATTAGAATTTTGTAGTTTTTTTTTTTTTTGAAAACACTTTAGCTTATACATACCCTTAATAAATCCTGTATGTATATGTAAGTGGGTAATGGACATTTTTAAAATTATTTTCTGAGAATATGGTTTTCTGTTTTTATTTATCTATATTTTTATGCTCTCACTGATAAAATATGTTTTTGACAATGTGACATTGTCGATTCACGTACGTTTTGAACTGGAAGCTCTCCGCACCATTTGGTTATGTTGTTACTATATAGCGGCAATGATTATAAATTCTCGCCGAGGATTTTATTTTTTTATCCCAGTATGAGACGTTTTAGTGTGCTGATAAAAATATATGTACCAAATCTCTTCGCCCCATCTACAACGACAACGGGTATAATAATATATCGTGTAGCGTTGAAAACGGATTATGGGCGGAATAATAATAAATGCGTTTTGCTTTATGATAATATTAGGGTCATTTAAACTTTGTGCGGTAATGGTGTTTTCCTCGAAAGGATCTTCAAATGAAATACTTAAAAAGTGGTGTTACAAACTACCCGCGTTCGTCTAAAAAAAAAAAAAAATAATAATAATAATTACAAGTTGACAAAGTAATAAAAATATTGTTTTCTCCCTAGTTTTTTACTTAAAAAAGTTAAAAAAAATAATTAAATAAGTTTTGTCTTTCTCCAGTTTAAAATACAGTTACTAAATACACATGGCTACATAAATACGCATATTTTGTGATACGGTGTATAATAGAAAACATCTACTGTCGTGTAACTTATGTACATCGTTTCATGTTTAATTCTGAAAAGATGACCAAGATAAATATCCATAACTGTAAGTCAATTTCACAGACACTTGTTGTAGTTCTTGTTATTCAAAAGTATTGTATATTTATAGTTAATTGTTTTTAAATGTCAGGTTTAGAATTAATAATGACTAAATTATTGATTTTCAATATGATTCTAAAATATATCGAAATCAATATCGATTAAAACTGTAAAAAAATGACGACTACATTTAGTGCTACTGCGAGTTTTCAGAAAAAATTCAGCCATTTTAGTTTGTAATTGTTCTAGGGTATTCTTTTTCGATAAAAATACTTTTATTAACACTAATTTAGACCCTATCATAATATGAACATTTTTTTTAAAACATTTAATTAATTTTTTCATATAAGATATTTAAAGAAAAAACATATTTGAATATTGTTCGATGTCAAAAAAAAATATGAGTTCAACTAATGGTAGGTATTGCATTGTAATAGTAGTAATATGTTTTTGGTGTATTACAAATATCTGGCCGCAATCTACTCATGTAGATTTCCGTCTGACACGGCCTACAGATTTAATACATTGCGCAACATCCATAATAAACCAACCTGTAGGATATTTTATATTGTAGCGACTTTGACAAAGTAGAATATTGTTCAACACGTTATACTATATAGTTCGCAACCTCTACAATAATATGATAATAAGGCATAAGACAAATAAATGTGTACAACAAATGTAAAAATAATAAGTTATTTAAAGTTTTCCGCACAGGTGAAAGTCGCAATCAGTTATAAATAATTATTTACTGCGTCCAGTGTCTTTCTCTATAGTAAACCCGTGTTTTTGTAATTCATTTTACTATACCTAACTCAACCTTATGTTAATAATTAGTTTAACGTTGAAATACATAAATAAGACGAATCTATGACGTATGTTAGAAAGTATTAAATTTCAATGCTACATAATAGTTTCATCATCAATCAATATGACAATTAAATAAATAAATAAGAAAAAACAGAAGAAACTAAAGCAATCTAATGGCCCAATGGCCATTTTGATAATTATTTTATGCTCATTTTAGCTATAACTCGTTTCATTATAATTTATTGGCAATAACACAATTCGACACTTAACACGATACTTTTATTTTGCAACAATAATTTGCCTACGAAAAAAAAATAACACATTTCTATAGGTATATAAATAAAATAAATAAGTTTTCTGAGAATAATTTATTTGGAGTATATAAATTGTTTAATTTATCGTTTATGAGCATATCGTTCTGTTAGTGTTATTTTTTTTATTGTTTACTAATAAAATTGAAAATACAAAAGTATTTTTTTTTCTTCTAAGGAAAATATTTCTATGAAACCGCATGCAATTACTAACCGATATAGATACTTTTCGAGTAAATCAGGCCAGAGGAACAAAACCAATAAAAACAACGTAGTTCTTACTTCTTGTTTAGTTAACTTTTTTTTTTATAAAAAGTATTTCTCAATATAACTCAATGTTGTTTAATTATAAGCATCAATTAACACATAGCGGGCTTGGAAACTAAAGGTACTATATCGACATTACACAGTTGTTCAAGAAAGCATTTTTAAGGTTTGATTACATTAATTTCATACTTTCACCGAATCAATTATTAATTTTTATGTCATTAAATCAAAAATGTCACAATGTATAATGAGCTATTCACTTTTTGTCAATAAAATTGTAATATAGTTATGAAAAATAAAAAACCAAAAAGTTCCTGTTGAGAAACAAAAAGGTTCTTGAGATAGAACATTTGTTAGCGATATTTTAAGATATACGGTTGTTTTTGTAGATATTTGGGTACACCCAGAATATTATAATGTACATCATAATAATAAATTGCATTTATTTTAGATCAAGTTAATCAATTTATTTAAATATTCTTCAGTCCGTCCATTTAAGAAAAATGTTGGTTATGAATTTTAATTTGCAGGTGGAAATGTTGAACTGTGCTATGTTGTTTGCGGTGTTCGGGATGGTGATGGCTTGTTCGGCCGCAGCTACTGGCAACCAAGAAAAACCCGGACCAAAGGCCCAGGATCAACAGCAACAACAGGCTGACGTGATGAGGGCCATTGCCGAGGTCGGTGCCAGTGGTCGCCAGTCTATGTTGCAGCCGTCATTGGCGGATAATTACTTGGTGGCCGACCCGCTGCAGGCAACATACGACTATGGAGTGAAGCGCGCGCACAAACAATACGGATTCGGGCTGGGTAAACGGCTGTACCGTCAATACCAGTTTGGACTGGGCAAACGAGCTTCCAAGCAGTACGGATTTGGATTGGGAAAACGAGCGGTCTCCAAACAGTACGAGTTTGGACTGGGCAAGCGGGCTTCGCCTACGTTCTATAGCTTCGGCTTGGGCCGTCGAGCCTCACCGCAGTACAGTTTTGGACTGGGCAAGCGGGTAAGCAAACGTTAAAAACATGTTGACTTCAAACTCAAAACGTTCGTTACTTGTAAAAGACGTCAAATTAGAGAAAAATTGGGGAGAGATAATTCAGGGCGGCATGGAGGTTTGCGGAATGAGATAAAGAGATGATATTACAATTGACTTGGAATAAAAAACAGTGAAGATTAACACGACCCGTCCCATTTGTGTGGAATAACAAGTAGAGTTTAAAAATACATTTACCAGCAGTCTTTAGGTTTCAAATAAGAATGTTTATAAATAATTTATTTTCGCGCTTTAATATTTTTCACTCCAACGGATAAATACCTACTCGAGGGATATTGAATCCCTAAAAGAATACTACAAAAGAAAAAAAATGCTTTAAAAAAATAATATCAATTTATATAGTATAATAAGTTGAAAATTGGTGTTTATTTAACATATATTTTTTTGAATTAATGTTTTTTTTTTATATATTTTATACGATAGCATTCTTTGTAGTTTAGTATTTACTTCTTTATTATAAAACGAGCAAATTTAAAAAATCAGGAAAACATATTCGGTTTAAAGTTCTTCTAAAAACGTATTGTATTGATATTAATTTTGTCTGAGACTTAGCAGCTAAAAAGATTGCACAAAACAGATTACAGGCAGCCGAAAAGGGAATGTATAAAATGCACATTAAAAGTCAGAATTCGCAGAGAAAAGTATTATTCAAGAACGTGTCAGAAATCCTAGAACGTTATTCGATCGAGTCTTTTTTTAGTGGCAGTTGTGAGAGTACTGAGTATGGCATTTACATATCAGGGTGAATAACAATAACAGAAGTTCTGCGTAAGCCGTCACTTTGTTGAAATACAATTCGAATGATTACTTTAATAAAACACAACGCATAGCAAACACATAATATTGTTACTTGCAATTAATTATTAAAATCCCTTAGGCGCACATTCAAAACAATATTACAATTTGTATTTTTTTTTAACATTAAATATATTAATTAATCGGCCGTTTTTAATTAAAGGAGTTTTTTTAATAGGCAATACTTATTAAATGACAATGACAATACTGTAACTTTTTTATAAACAGTATAGCGTATGGTTTATCCCTGTTGTTAAAAAAAGCCTAAGTATTTTATTATTTACTACAAATAGTATGTTCCGTTTTCGTCGGAAAATCGGAAATAGAATTAGATAAAGTAGGGAAGTTGTATTATAGTACAGTATAGTAGGCTAGTTGAAAGGAAAGAGGAGCGTTTAGCAGATTACGTTATTAAGTTTGTAATCTTGAAAAACAAACTGAGACCAACGCGCTTTTACCTATAGTAGGGTTAATTCGATAAGCGCTTTATTTTGTCCAGTTAGATGTCATTAGCCCAGCCACTGAGAAATCAAAACAAAAACACGGCGAGTTGTAGGTCAATAAGTTTATTTCAAAAGCCGAAACTCGGTTGATGGCCATTAGGTACGCTTAATATTTGTCACAAGGAAAATAAATCTCAGCGACTCTTTAAAAACCATCCGCTATAGCCACCTATTATTTGTGATAATATCTATAAATCTGTGTCCATTACTAAGTATTCTTTTATGTCTTACAAGTTACATACAATAACATGTTTAAGATTTATTTTCAGGAGGGGTCCCCAAAATGGTAGGTCAATATGACCCTATATTATTGGGTCCCAGCCTTAAAAAAGGGCCGCTGAGTATATTTCGTGGACAAACCCTACTTTTTACATATAATTATAGGCTTTAGAGATATAATAATCTTCAGATTTTATATGGATATGTTTTTACTCGAAAGTCTGTAACAACCGATGTGATTGACTATATTTTTTGTCATGCAAATGTCTATAGAGCCTCCTTAAGTAGGTAAGATACCTACATAATATAACGGTTTGTCGTTGATTAACAGGTGTCCGACCCTTCGTTCTTGAACGTGGACGAGAAGGAAGCCGACTACAATGACCTGTCGGAGGAGAAGAAAAGAACGGCTATGGACGACATGGGCCACGGGCAACGGTTTGCGTTTGGATTGGGAAAACGGGGCGCTGAACTGGCTGAATGGGACGAGTCTATGGACGACCAGGCGCCCTTGTGGCATCCGGCCGTCAGACGAGCCAGGCTCCAGTATGGTTTCGGTCTGGGCAAGCGGGACGACTTCGACGGGGACGACGCCGATATCAATTAAAAATCTAATAAAAAAAAAAATAATAACAATAAAAATGCAGACACCCCATCATATTATTTTATCAAAAACAAAAACAACAAAAATGACATATTATAATACCGGCGGTTTGAATTCGTTTACGACGAAAAAACTTTGTAGGAAACTATATTATTATTATTACACAATAAATAAGTATAATGTATAATTAATCGGTATATATTTTCCGGATGTTGTGTTTTTAAAAGTACCAGAAGTATATATATATACATAATACTATTATTACTTTAATCTATTTTATTAATTCATGCTAATATAAATTGGTATATTATGTATACTTAATAATTATTATAATACTGATATAATTACTATATCATTATCATACGATGTATTTTAATTAACCTAAATGCAGTACATAATTTATTATGTTTTTCTATACTGGAAACCGTATAGCTACAGCCTACGTAGTATATTATAATAAAACTATATCAATTTATGTATTTACTGTAAACAAAACAAATATCCTGGAAAACGACATAAAACATTAACACTATCTATAGCGAGATAATTTACAATTTAAAATTCTTGTCTTGTGTACTCCCCTGTATTTGTTTTGACTATACGCCGCATTTATTAATGTTTACATAAAAAGTACTCGTGACGCAAAAAATAAACACTTAATTAAAAACAAATTTTCCGCGTTTACAAACGGATTTTGGTCGCGTAACTTATATCCTTTATTATAATAATAATTAACTATAAATGTGTAACAAACAACTTTAACGTTTATGTGCAAACTCTAACACAAATGCAAGTTCTTTCTTTACACTGAAGTGTAAAAAAATCAAAAGTCGTTGCTCCGCGTGTATTTAACGTTTTAGTACCAAATCATGTTAAATAATTCATTTCAAAATTCACCTCAATACTTTTAGTAACGTCTGCTGTACCATATATTTGTTTGACAGAATCGAAAGATAATAATGTATTATGTTGTACGTCATTTTTATTCATATAGTATATACTATATTTCATATGTCATTACTATACTTAAGTATACAATATTATATACAGTAAACATCTTTTTAACTATTATATCTGATATTATGATAGTCCAAAGTACCAATAAAGTTAACTATTTAACTATATCCTATGATGTTTTGATATTTTTAACAACATTTTAATATATTCGTCTCTGTTTTCCTAGCCCGACAGTACAAATATAGTTTAGACATCCTATTCTCACTGTAATTCTTTTCTGTTCGTCATCTTTTCTGTACATTCACTTCGTACATAGCCTTTGACAGCAATGTATATTAAACATAATATTTTTAGTTTGGATAGACTCCTTAAGCTGTCTGTAGTCTGACTGTCGTTTCTTTCAAGGTGGATTTGTATATCTCTTTTATGGTTTCTGTGCTACGTTTCCCCACATTATGTGTCATTTAAATGTGTATTTAATGTGTCATTAAAGAAGACAGACTACATTATTATGGATTTTAAAGAGTAGTTGGATGATTTGTGTGTTACCACTATACGAATTTTAAATGTATAGAAAAATGCAAATCCACCCTCGAACGACTTACGACGCAAGCTTGTTGAAAATCTAACTGAAGCTTGGAAATACATATTATTAGACAGGTCTGGACCGTTTTTGCGAAAGAAAGTCAAGTTATTACGCGTGGAAGAGATACAAGCTTAGACCGCACCAGTGCAGTAAGTTGTTTTTTATTGTGTAAATATTGTTTTAAATAAAATACGGTTAATGTTAAAATGATGCTCCAAGACGAAGTATCCAACCATTCAATATTCAATACACTTAAGTGGATTATCGTGTATCTACAGTATAATATGTCTCTTGTACGTACTACAAATAAAACGTTAGACTGTATTTATGTATACCGTGTTGCATGTTATATTAATATACCACTTGTCAATTTCAAATAATGTTTTTCCGACTTATCGTTCAGGAACAGTGGTCGTATCGTCATACAAACGACGACGACCGGAACCTGAATAAAATACTATTTATTTAATTCAGTAACTTTTTCTAAGTACTCAACATATATTACTGCTTAAATACTATATTTTTTTTAGGTCAAACTAAACATTTGCAATCCATCGTTATTTTTAGAATACTGCATAGTGTAAATTGGTAATAATAAGTAATATTTTTCATATTTCCTGTTTTTAAAGTTAATTCAATATATTTATTTCGTTTATTTTTGTGTCATGTAGTATTTCAATAAAATGTGTATACTGTTTCCTATGTATCACTCATTCATTCATTAAAAAAATACTCCGAAAGTGACCTGTAATGTAATTTAATTTGAAGTAATCATATACGAGCCACAAAACAAAAAACTGAGTTTTATATTTTCTTATAACCGTTATAGCCTCAAATATTATATTTTAAAAAAACCATAGAATTTCATTTTCTTAGAGAAATGCTAAAAAAATGTTTTATAAATAATTTAAATCGAGCGTTTGAATACTTAAGCTTGAACATATATGATAAATTTATCGTTTCCAACTTATATATGATAGGAAATAACAACATAACACATATATCTTTAAAGTACTATCAATTTAATGGCGATCTTTGTACCAAATTATTTATTCAACATTGATAAACTATTATTATGCTATTAAATCTCTCAAAATATTCGTTCCGCTCTAATACATTTATACATTTTGCAATGGTTGAGACAAGTACACACCAAATTCTTCTTCTTAAGCTTTCATAACCATAACGCTGCTCTGAAAGAAAAAAACAGTTTTATGACGTTCTGAAGATAAATATACTCAGACATTTATTATTTTTATTAGCTAATTTAAATCATAATATTTGATCGGAGCGGTAGTTTGAAGTAATCGAGTGTATTTTTTAATAACAATATGAAAATGCAATAGTTTCACAAAAACAATGCTTATATGACAATAAATATGTGATGAAGCTTAAAACTTAATGTTAGTTCGTTTTGGACGTTTTGTCTTCCCGCTAGAACACTACAAAGTGTACAAACATTGGCACAACTGTATTCTTATGTGTTTATGCGAGGCCGTCGTCGTCTGCGAACATATTAGTTATTGTATTTATGCATACCTTCCGCTCGTCCTTTATTATTTCCGTTGTTTGTGACGTACTCAACCGCCCAAACCATAACATAATATTTGCTGTAGCTTTCATAAACTAATACCGGGACGTCTAGACATGGCTTGTCAGTTGTCTGGTTGGAAAACTAGAGATAAATATGTAATAAGTAATAGCTATTTAACAAAGCGAAACTATCGAATTCGACTGCGTATGCTGGACATCTAAGCAGAACATTTTTCTCACTGTTGTGTTATTTTTCGCGACGTTTAGGAATTTCTAATGCACGACTATAGTTTTAATATTTGAATTTTGTTTGTCATACCAATAGAGGAAAAAAAAGAGGAACCAGTGCTCATGCGACCAACCCCAAATCCGGCGTCTTTCTAAAATGTGTATTGTAATTTTAGCTATGACGTTTTTATGTATACAGGCACGTGTGTAACATTTTCGGGCTGTATATTTATTTTGGTTACAAACAAAATAGAGAATAAATCACTACTGTAATGATATATAGCGACGATATATTACGACTACATGGGTAAAAGCTAGCCTGTACCGATTATACATTCATGAAAGTTCAACGTCATCTCTATTTTTTCCATACAACACAAAACATTTTAAATTTTAAAACTGATTATGATCACATATGTATTTTTAAAAAATGTCATCATAGTTTTGAAATAGCATAGTTTTGTTGACAGATGTTTTAGGGAGTTAACAGGTGGCCGCAACAATTAACGCTTTGGCGTTTATGAGATCCTGACGGATTGCCATTAATTATAGGTTAAACTCGAACAATATTACATTTTGATTATATTTTGACAGGACTATTATATTTAAGGATTGCCTGTCAGGTCAGCGATCCCTCTATACTCTATAGTACTAGGAACCGATTATTATGCGCGGTACCTGTGACATAGTAATCAAAACTCATACACGAGGTCAAATAATAATTACTTTATTATTATGTATACCTACTTCCAGCTCGAATAAATAATAGTTAGGACACACTATACAGTCTAGGCCAACTTCCCTGAATAGTCGTTTTAGTTAATTTTTTTTTTGTGTTATGAAATATTAAACAACCAAAAACTATTATTACATTTTTAATAAGATCAAAATTAAAGTAAAACGTTTTATTCACTAACGGTTAAAATTTTTATGTTAACTTTCATTAAAAATAAATTGTTTTATTTTTATTGCAAACCATATGCGTATATTAAAAAAATCTCACTGGGTAGACCTCTTTGAAAACTTTTAAAAAGCTAAAGTGTTTTAAAAGAGTCACTTTTGTTATTTAACTCACAATTTTTAATTGTATAACTAATAAGTATATATTAAGGAATTATCTATTGATTAATTATACCAATTACCCATTAAGAAATAAAAGTATAACAAATGTTTGTATTAAACTTGATAGGAATGAAGCTAAAGTGGTCGTGCAGTTAACATAACAACGCAGTTTCACTCGAGATACACATTTATGAGAAACTGCGTAAATTAAAGATTAAGACTTTATTAAAATGTTTCTCTATAATCTTTAGTGATTTTTGATAAAGTTATTAGAAACTGAGCTATAAAAATTTACAATGATTTTTGTAAACGCATGAGCAGCTGTCGGTTTTCATTTGGTAACTTCTCTAGTACTTTTTGTTTGTATTTTAAGCTCAGCAGAATAATTTTTCAAACGTCATTTGAGAAATAAATTTGAATTCCGAGCTCTGGTCTGTTCTGGAGTCATGTGTAGGAGGGGAGAACGAAAAAGTTTTTAACAAACGACAAATAAAATACTTTGAAATGTTTCCTATAATATTTATAATGTATCCGCCCGTAATTGGGCAGGTTATAAATATCATATAATTATTATTGTGAAAACTTTTGTTAATGTTTGACCTGCGAAAAGAAAAAACGTGATTTATCAGTGGCATCAAAACGGTGTTTAAACAAAGTAATCTTGGAAAACCAAATACAATTATGATTGTCCGTAAACGAACCTCACCACCTTTGCACCGTTTTTGACCCTACCATGGAAGAACAGTAAAAAAACGTTATTGCAAATCTCCAATTTTTTTAAAAACAAAAAAAATAGTAACGTCGCTTCGCAAGAGTACAAATTTTGTTGTTTTGTGTGTATCAAATCTTCAAAATAAAATCACAATCGATTCCAGCATAGTTGGTAAAGGCTTTTTTTTATCAAGCATAAAACAACTTACTATATAACAAATACCGACTGACAATACTACAAATATAACAAATTGGTTGTGAAAAAATAACCATACTGTTTACGTTTGAGCCCGACTGACTACTGAGTGCACAATATCAATAACCCGACGACCAACGTCCTTTGGCAAACATTTAAGGATAGTAGATATACCGTATACTTGTAGTTGTCAGTCAGCACTTTTGTTTTCTTTTTTTGTGTAGCGTAAATAATTTCAACGTCCATCGACCCTCCAACACAATGTCAGATGTATGATATATTATTACATTGATATTGTTTTTAAGATCTCGAAGAAAATAAAAGCAGATACTATTTTTTTTATAAAACATATAATAATAGTTATTTTTTAAGGAAATCTGAAAACGTTCAGTTATTACGAGGTTTTTTAAGTAAAATACATATTAAGAGACTATGTCCATACTTACGAGTTACGGTAAATTGTATTTGTGTTCAATATCACCGAAGAAAAATTAATACTGACTAAAACATTCAAAACAATTAGGCAAATTATAATCATCATTATGTCAATAGTCAACTCATACTTCATAGGACGCAATTGATAACGTGTTGAACTAGATGTAGAGTTATCCAGTCCTAGGTATAAATGAATCTGTATGAAAAAACGTCTGCGCCTTTCCTCCCCAAAAAAAAAAAATTCTAATAAATTCACAGACATGAAATATGAATTTTTACACGCTATAACTTTTCCTAGCACATTTGGTATGTATTTAGTTATTGTCTTTGTATATTAGTATGTTACAGTTTAGAATCATATTTTTTAACTGACCATGATTTGTAGTGTAATTAGACAATCAAATCTTTTATATGTGTATTTGGCATTTACCTACAATTTTTAAATGTGATTGACCCTTTTATAACAAAGATCTAGAGTTTATAGTTTTTTGGGATTATTCCGGTTTTGCAGCTAGGTTTATTTTGCTTGTGGAAATAAAATTGTATTTTTTTCTAATAAACAAATTGATTACGCATATGTTTTGTGTACTTGAACACGACTTACTCTAGTCTCATTTTCAATACATTTATACGCCCGAAAAATAAATAAATTTCTATTTCTTCACGAGGAAAAGCCGAAGTTTCATCATAAGAAGCTACTAAAATTATTTTATTGGTTAAACGGTATTTCATTTGTAAAATGGTAAAACTACAGATTACAGTATATTTTATGGCAAAACTACAACTTAATTGTTAGCGACGCATTTCAAAGTACAGTGCTTAGCGTCAATAATAATTGTGTATAGCATTACTATTTACTATAGTTATAATGTCTACGACTGATGTCATAGACTGCATACCTACGACATCGACTGCAGTATTTCCGTTTCAAGAACCTTATAAATGCATTAAAAACAATATAATTAAATAATCGAAATTTGATTAAATTGAAATGTTCCTGTTTAATTAGATTTTAAATATTTTCTATTTAGGTAAGAGGAAAGTAGACAACGCGGCGGTCAACACTTATAGGTATGTACTTATTACAAATCAATTTTAACATTATTAGATTGGTGCAAGTCTTAAAAAATACACATTGAAACATCAATAAAAACGCTACCGATTTTTAACTTCGGATTTTCGACCATAACAAGTACTTGCACGCTTTTAGTATTTATATTTTGCAAAATAAAGTTTTTAAAACATTTTCAATTTGTTAACATCCGGTCAGTCTGTATCGTAAGTCATAACCGCTGTGTAAATCCACCGTGTCGCCTATCTCTCATAGGCCAGTATTAACTATTAGGGGGAGAGAGACGGGCAATATCGGTCACTTTATTATCTGGCAAAACATCGTTTTAACATTTAAACGTTAGGTATAACCCACAAACGATTTATTTTTCATCGGACTACAGTTGGATCAGCTCTCTAAGCGTTTCTTCGACACTATTTAATTTTAACCTTATTTGTTCGAGGAATTACATTCAATTTTTTGGCGTTATGGTACTCGGTTGTACCTTACACAAGTAAGTACATTTTTATATCATGTAACACGTGTTTCATCTATGTGTTCTCTTACTTGGGTTTCCGGCAAATGTTGCTGGAGGACGCAGACAGCTACGGTTAGAGTTTGTGGAAGCCAACAGCATTGCTCTCCGCGACGTTTTTCGAAATTCAGTCCTCTGTTCGAGGCGTTTCAATGCGGAAGATTATACAAGAGCAGTGCAGCGACGTCGCCTTACAAATGCAGCTGTGTATTCAATAAGTATAAATAATCATGAATGTATGTTAGTTAATGAGTAACTAAAAGTCAGCACGATGGTGACAGAGCATAATATAGGCTACTAATCTGGAAATTTAATATGGTCAGAAAATAATTCAAATTAGACAACGCAAAGAGTATTCACTCAAAACTGGTTAGTCAGTATTATTGTACAGATACGTTTAATTTTAATTTTTTTCGGTAGACATTCAGAAAATTTCCCAATGATTTGAATTCAAAATTATCATTTACTTTTATTAGCATTGTATCAATTTTTTATATAAATGTTTAAGAGGTTTTACGCTTAGATAATTTTTTTTTCCTTTTATTTAGAGGTGATCAACAACGTAATTAATGTTTGATAGTTATACTTCAAGTGTAATGTGATTAAAGTGAAAAAACAACATGTGTTTATTATTGGATTATTAATAATTATTATATTTTTAATTACTTAAATAGCCTCTCAATTATTTAAAAAAATAATTAGTCCATATTTGTTTCGAGTATTTAAAAAAAATGAATTATCCACTAATTTCCAATATAAAATGTTTATGTGAGATTATAATATATATACGGCGTGGTACAAGCGGTGGCGGCGGCGGCCAGCCGTGCGGGTTGCTGGTAGCAGGGGATAACACAGTTACCACGAATGTTGCGTGCTACGATGTTATGTTAGTCCGACATTTTTGTTACGAATGACAATTGCTACGACGACAATTGACACGAATACATTTACAACGAAAATATGTTTTCGCTTTTATTTTTTATGCCACGATTTACAGTTACATCAAAGTTCCATTTTTAATTATTGCTTCGAATTACATTTACCTCGAATTCCTGTTACATCGACATGACTTATCAAAAAATCTTAATGTTATGATTTCGCTATTTTATAGGACATTTACATTGATAAACATTATATGGACCTTAAATTCCATTTACACTGACATGACCCAACAAATAATTTATATAAAACTATAAATAATATAATCTGAGTAAAAACAAGTTTAAAATTGTTCAGCAAGATGTAACTCAAAGTTAAAATAACATTAAGGGGACCGCAGCATGTTTTTTATAAAAAAATATTAAGTATAAATATCAAAGAAATTAAAAAAGGCCAACCCATTGATAAAGTGTTTCCCTATACATTGTGAGAATTTAGTAAATCTACCCCTTAAGGGGGTCGGAGCACAACTAGTTTCATGCGTTTTAGCGGTGCTTAATTAGACATACTTCTCAATGTTGGATTTTTAAAGTATGTGTGGATTTGTTGACAAATCGTCTGGGTTTCTTAGGAAGCCCATTTTTGATTTAAAATGTTATGCCTAAAATAAACTCAAATAAACTATCATTGAATTTTCAAAAAAAATAATTTTGGAGATCTTCAAAAGAGAAAATTAAAAATCGCCTTCCTAAAAACCTTGAAAATTTGTCGAAAAATGCATACATGTATTAAAAATTAAAATCCAACATTGGGAAGTATGTCTAATTAAGCACCGCTAGCAGATGATATTTACCAATATAAAGTTAACAACATTTTTATTTTAACGTTGTAACTTACTTTATTAATAACTAGAATTCAATTGAATTGAATAAATTACCACTACTGTGCTTACCAGTCGTGAGTACATTGGTTGCTGGCTGAAATGTGTGTTACTATGCTGAAACGGCTGCGATAACAACCGTCTCAGACTTCAGTTGTTTTTCAGCTTTTCACGAGCAAACGACATTTTTGTTGGAAATACAGTTTTTGCGTTTCAAGTATTATATCTAATATTCTGAAATATGTGCTCTATGGAGAAGATTTTGTGGGCCGGCGGCGCCGTTCTAACGGTAACTGGCGGCGGTTACCTGCTCTATAAGGTATGCGTATGAACATACATATTGTTTGATGACATGTTCAATGACACACCTTCGACCAGGGCTCGCTGTTTTGTCAGTGTCAGCACAATAGTTATTAGTTTAAATAAAAATTGTTCTCGTGTTCAAGGCCAAAAAGAAATGGTGGGACGCGGCACCGGTAGAACTTGCACCGGTTGAACTTACACCGGCTGAATCCGCACCGGTAGAACCCGCATCGGTAGAACTTGCAACGGCTGAACCCGCACCTGTAGAACCTGCACCGGTAGAACCCGCATCGGTAGAACTTGAACCTGTAGAACCCGCACCGGTAGAACTTACATCGGCTGAACCCGCACCGGTACAACTTGCACCTGTAAACCCTGCACCGGTAGAACCCGCATCGGTAGAACTTGAACCTGTAGAACCCGCTCCGGTAGAACTTGCACCGGTAGAACCCGCTCCGGTAGAACTTGCACCGGTAGTACCTGCGTGTTACTACCACGACAGATACGGGTCGGCGGCGCACAGATGTCGTCCTCCGTGCGGCTACAGGCCAACTGAGGCAGGACAGCCGGAGCCACCGTGTGTGTACCACAGGCGACACGGCGCGGATGCAGTAAACTGCATACTGCCGTGTGGATTTGCAGGAGTGCAGGAGTACGGCATAGGGGAGCCCGTACCATATTGCATATACCATCGACGGTTCGGTCCGGAGGCGGTGAACTGCCGAGCCCCGTGTGGCTTTAGGGCCATACACTGAGGTAACACATTCATTAGTTTCCACAAAAAGCAACATACTGCAACGCGTTGATAATATTTCTTTGTCAGTCTCCTTTTTTTTCTCTCTGTTAATATTGAACCCAGGTATATTTAACTTGTTTGACTCTACTGAACTCATATCTACAGACTTTCAGGTGTGGAAAAACGGCCGTACTATCATGTTGGAGACCACTACAATTATTAGTTGTCTACGGCCGCCGTGTTTGAACCCATCACGTTGTTTTTTCTCTCTATCTATTCAAGCTGTCATCCCTGTGGTCGCATTCATTTTGTTGACCGCCGTCTCAGCCATCCTCGCCGTGGCCGTCATTCATGTGGTTGGCCGTCGACTAAGTTTTGTAAATTAATAGTTATTTAAGTTTATGTAGAAAAATTGTCCTGTTTATTACCTTTCTCGTGAAAACCTTAGTGATACTAATACACTTAATTAATGATCACCTAATAAATATGTACTGTGTTAATACGGATGTTATTGTTTAATATGTTAGGGAACTCGGGGCAATTGCCCTGATGTCGAAACACTTAAGCTAAAATATTATGTACTTACTCGAAATAAGTTTACCGACACAAGGGCTTTAAAAACCAAGTCGCTATTTTACTACTTTATCTATTTTACTAGAGCTTCGCTCTAGCTGGGAGCTCCGCCCCCAGGCCCCCGAGTCGGGCGGTTAGGTCACAGATTCCTGGTACTGTACCCGGCTACGCCGGGCACGCTCACGTCCTCTCGCTGCAAAGTATTTTCGGGGAGGTCACAGATTCCGAGGGGGGTGCCCGGCTGCGCCGGCCACGGTATGTGGAAGTCAGTGCACAGCGGTTCCTATGGGGGTGCCCGGTTGCGCCGGCCACGGTGTCGAGCCATCGCAATACGTCTTAAAGGAATGACGTTATAATTCATGGTACCTATAGGCTGTATCTAGTAATCAGAATTCATACCTAGTTATGGACAAATATTTGCAAGCTAAGTACTGATTAAGTGTAGAGTAAGTCTAGCTATGTATCTGTAATTTTTTTAAATTTTGAATTGAAAAGAATAGTCTAGAAGTTAGACGGTTAATAAATATCAAGTGTCCGGTGTTGCTTACTTGGGTTGCTACCACTTTTACCAATTTTTATGAACTAACAATGTCCAGTTTCTTATCAGCGGGCGGAATTCGTATTGAAAACTGATAAGGACGGCAGGTCTCCGAGTGTTTTGGCATTCACTCGCTTCGCCAACTAAAAATATCCTAGGTTTGTAGGCTACAGTCTATGAGGAGGTAACAGGTTTAAAATTAAGTTTAAATTAAAATTTTAAAAAGTTAAAGAGGCTTGATAAGAAGCTGGCCATTGGGAAAAAGTGTACAATGGAAATTGTCTTTGGTAAAAGTTGTTATATTATAGACCACGTCATCAATATAGGCCGGCGTCATCTCGCTTAATTTTATGAGTTGAAAACAGATAAAAATGTCTAGAGGACAGTCAGCTAAATGTCTGTTAAGGTTTACCTTTGTGAAACAAAATTTGTTTAAACGTAGTATGTTATATGTCTGTACACAGCAGTTCCGAGGGGGGTGCCCGGCCACGGCGTCGAGTCAGCTCACTACGTTTTAAAGTATACCGTTATAATTCATCGTACCTTTATCTAGTAATCATAGTTCATACTTAGTTTCGAAAAAGTGTTTTGCAAGCTAAGTACCGGTTAACTGTAGTGCAAGTCTAGCTATCTGTCAGATCAGAAACGTCCTACTACTAAAGCGAGTGTGCTACTTGCTTAAAGGACAATTTTTTTTTTTTTTTAATTTGAATTGTTTGAGGTGTTGTTTACTTCACGGGCTTGGTAATAGCTATGGTTAAAAATAGAAAGAAATGTTTAGAGGTCAGTCTGTATATGTCTGATATGGTGTTCCTATGTGCAACAAAACTTTTTCAAACGTATACGTTATATGTCTAGATATTGGTTGAATTAAAATTCTTATTTGTTCAGAAATCACCGTCTATGCCATTTTTCGGTAATGACGTACTGTACGTTTAGAATGTAACCAACAGCATAATGCATTAAATATGTATATTAAAGGTCTGGTGGTTTAACAGAAGTTCATAAGTGTTTAAGAATTCAAGAGTAAATCACATGAATGAAATGTCTAGAGTTTATATTAAAACTTAAAAGGGAAAGAAGTGAAGAGTGATAAATACATTATTTTAATTTTTGATCGACTATTTGGCAGAGCTTATAAAAATGTCCAAAGAGAGGTTAAATGAAATGTCTCGATGCAAATCTTTTAGTTTTTGGATCTGGATCTTTAATGCTAAAGGTACTTTGTTACTTAAGGTCTGACGTTTGTTGGTTATTAGAAGTTTAAAAGTGTGGAAGAATGATATGTTTGTGTGACGGTTACTTAGGAACTCAAGAGTACAAAACATGAATGAAATGTCTGAAATAATTTGTAGCAAATATTTTTGATTATTCGAGTGTCCGGCGGTGATTATAAAAACGGCCAGAGTACAAAATGATAATAATAATAATAATATTCAGTGCATAAAATACCTAAATTATTTGATACTTATCCAGACATATTTTATACATAATAGATAAATTGATATATACATTAATACTTTTTTAAGTAAACCATGAAAGGTATAAATCCATATGTTGATATATTTTTAGATGGCTAACCAACAATTCATCCTACTAAATGATAATAATCAAAAATTTTAAAATAATTTTATTTTTCATTATGTAGTATCAATTTAAAAAAATATAGCAAAATCTATAGATTTGCTATACTTTTTTAGGGTGGAGCGAATACTTATACTATACTTCTATAAATAATAAAATAGTAAATTAAATGTTGATTTTTAATATAAATTTTAACCCTTTGAAGCACAGCATTTTTTTCTCCGATTTTCTCTGAACATGATTATGAAGGTGGTAATAAATATATACCACTGTGCGAGAGTAGGCTATTTTTTGAAAAAGTGGTATATTACTTATACCACCATGCTTCAAAATGTTAAAATGCAATAAAATGATTTGAAATTAATATTTTATTTTTATGTTTTAATTATGCCCTATGTCTGAAATCACACCACAAAAAAAAACAAAATAGTCAATATTAATAAGTATCTAATTTAGTTCAAGCTATATCAACAGCAGCTCAAAAAAAAAAATATATATACATACATATAATATAAAAAATTAACATTAAATAGTTAGTAAAAATAAATGTTGGCCGCAGGCAAATTAATCGGTGACGGCATAGGATAACAGTCTGTAACCAATGGTAACAATAATAACTACTTATTGTATTAATTAAAGACAGAGTAGATAGAAGTAGCAATCAATCTTCTAAACGGACACGCGTCGGTTATGATTTCACTATAGTATTGGCCTAAAACAAATAATTTACATATATATAAAATAAGTCAGTAAGTTATTTAATTGAAAATAAACAGTAGATATATACGTCAACAAATTTTTCAACAAAAAATATGAAATGTATCGTTATCACCACACACAGCGGTTTGAAAAAGATCTATACTCTACACATACAGTTGATTTAAAATTGAAACACTGGTTCAATATTATTACTTTTTTATAATACCAATTTGTTTTCACATATTAATCGTAATTAAAAACTAACTTTTATATTGTTACAATTATTTTATAATATTGTAAGTTATTGTCCATTTTAAGTGACTCTAAAACCTAAAAATAATTGTTTATAATACCAGTCACAACGAATTAACAATAATATATTCGAAAATCTATCTGAAACCCTTGGGCCTCAATTTGAAGCAATCACCTACCTTCTAAATTATATTATATTACAATCAGATTTACATAATTATTTATTAAAAAAATAGTTTATAAAATTCTTATCTTATTTGTCTAACTTTTCTATTTTAAATGTATAGTCTACTGTATTCAATTATGTATATCAACTATTTTAATAAAACCCTTACAATGGCCTTTGTTGCCAAAGGGTTTTACCCAATAATTAAAAAAAATATTGTATATTAAAATGTGCAATTGATAATAAAGAATATACTATAAAACGTAATTAATGAATTTAATATAATGTAATATAACATATTAAATTCATTATGCCCGGTGGTCAAGTATTCTTATCATGTATAGTCGAAGTAAAATACTTTCGTGGTATCACAATATCGGGTTAACTGTTGTATGATTCTTTAATTACTTTACGATGTCGGGTATGTTAAATTCGGGCTAACCGTCTAATCGTAGTAATTGTATATTCGAAGTAGATTATATTCGTGGCAAATGACTGATAAAGCAATGTCGGAGTAACTACGAGTCGTGGCATGCAACATTCGTGGTAACTGTAGCAACCCGGTAGCAGCGCCCGTGCAGAGACGGCGCGGCGTGCTTCGTGTTTATACTAAATACTGATAAGTGATAACAGTTTTCCGTTACCGTAGTGTTATTCGTTTAAGAAAATATTGCTTTTTACATTTTCGACTCTTTCCCGTCGTAGAGGCCGAGTTCCGGACACTAACATGTATTATTATTAATATTAAAATGAAAAGTAATAAAAAAAAACGAGTTGTGATCGACGTTTCGTCTGTGCGCGGTCGTTTTTCGACCCTTTGTTCATTTCGTTTGTTATTGTGCTTTTTAGGTTTTATTTAAATGTCGATCAACGTATTACAGCACCTCAGCGAAGACTGGAACTGACGATCGGTATAGGTTCAAGTACGATATCCGATATTTACGCAGTCGAGTGATTGCAATTATTTATTTAGTTTAGACGCCGTTTGTGTTAAAACGTTTTGTTATTGATTGAGTTTTCGTTTCATTCGACCGCGGCCGGTGTGTTGCCGTCTTGAGATAATAACACTATGCTTTTCGATTTTAATATATCAAATTTTACTTAGAAATTAGTTATTGGTATCCCTTACAGATAGTTGTTGTGTTTCTACCAAATCTTCTGCTCAAAATACCTTACTGTCTACCTACGATTGAAATCCGGTATTGTATGGTGTTTGAAACCTGAGCTATTTCTCTGTAATTATTCGGTACAAAATCATATATACTCATTATTCATTTTTTGCTTTTCTGTAAAATTATAAAAAAATAGGTAATACTTTATTTATGTTTAAAAAATATGTATTTTCATAACAAATTATTTTAAACATATTATATAATATAATGGAAGCACTGAATCCAAATGGCCCAAGTCAGAACAATACATTTTAAAATTAATAATACTGAATCTAATTTGTGTTATATATATTTTATATGTTGTATATTGAAATACAACAAACATTTGATAACTATTTTAACTACTACATTATTTTATTCATCAGCTGACTACAATTACTATGAGTATTATTACATATTATATATACACCATCCGCACGAGGATAACCATCAGAGATTTTGCGTGTTACCGTTTAGCCGTTTGATACAACGGAAACAACGACTGATGACACAATGAGTTTAGCTTGATTCATGCAGGACGTTTTTGTTGCGGCAGTATGTGTGTGATCAGTATATTCGAATGGAAGCCCATTACCTGAACTGTATCTGCACGAATCAGTC